GCGCCCCACAGCGGGGCCACCACGGGGGGGGGGACGGTGACACAGACAGCTAGTATAATAAGAAAAGCCAAAAAGGAGTTTGAGGAACAGCTAGGCTAAAAACTCAAAAAGTAATACAAAATGTATACAAGGGGTTGCCTTGTATATTAAAAATGTACACACTTGGACTGAAGTGGAGATGAATGTAGGAGATAGCTGTGTAGAGAGTCTCTGGGTTAAGCTAAAAGGGGTAAAAAACGAGGGTGATATCATGCTAGGAGTCTACTACAGGCCACCTAGCCAGGTGGAAGAGGTGGATGAGGCCTTTTTTAAACAATTAACAAAACTATCCAAAGCCCAAGATTTGGTGGTGATGGGGGACTTCAACTATCCAGACATTTGTTGGGAAACTAACACAGCGAGGCACAGGCTATCCAATAAGTTTCTGGACTGCACTGTTTCTATTCAACTTATTTATAAATGATCTAGAGAAAGGAATAAACAGTGAGGTGGCAGAATTTGCAGATGATACTAAACTGCTCAAGACAGTTAAGACCAAAGCAGACTGTGAAGAGCTTCAAAAAGATCTCACAGAACTAAGTGATTGGGCAACAAAATGGCAAATGAAATTTAAGGTTGATAAATGTGAAGGAATGAACATGGAAAAAATAATCCCAACTGTACATACAATATGATGGAGACTAATTTAGCTACAGCTACTCAAGAGAGATCTTGGAGTCACTGTGGATAGTTCTTTGAAAACATCCACTCAGTGTGCAGTGGCAGTGAAAAAAGCAAATAGAATGTTAGGAATCATAAAAAACGGATAGAGAATAAGCCAGAAAATATCTTATTTCCTCTATATAAAACCATGGTACGCCCACATCTTGAATACTGCGTACAGATGGAGTTGCTTCATCTCAAAAAAGATATATTGGCATTGGAAAAGGTTCAGAAAAAGGCAGCAAAAATGATTAGGGGTTTAGAATGGGGCCCATATGAAGAAAGATTAAAAAGACTTCTACTTTTCAGATTAGAAAAGAGGAGACTAAGGGGGGATATGATAGAGGTCTATAAAAGCACGACCCTGGTGTGGAAATAGTGAATAAAAAAAGTTATTTACTTATGCCCACGATATAAGAAGTAGAGGTTACTAAATGAAAATAATAGGCAGCAGGTTTAAAACAAACAAAAGGAAGTTTTTCTTCACTCAACACACAGTCAACCTGTGGAACTCCTTGCCAGAGGATGTGGTGAAGATTAGGACTTTTATAGGGTTCAAAAAAGAGCTAGATATATTCATGGAGGTTAGGTCCATCAATGGCTATTAGACAGGATGGGTAGGCATGGTGTCCCTAGCCTCTGTTTGTCTAGAAATGGGTGAAAGGAGAGGGATCATGTGAGGATTACCTGTTCTGTTCCCTCCCTGAGGCATCTGGTATTGGCCATTGTCAGCAGACAGGATACTGGGCTAGATGGACCTTTGATCTGACCCTGTATGGCCGTTCTTATGAAAATACGATTGCATCATACTGAAGGTGTATCACGACTACATATAGGGCATTCCTTTTCATAACTTCTTCTACTCTGAAAGCCCACATGAAATGAATTGACACACACGTCAAAATGAAATGTCTTTACAGAAACAAAATAGTTGTTTTCTTTTTCTAACGTCCGAAGATGACTTCCCCCCCCCTTGAAAAATGTGATGGAAATTGACATGTCCCTGCAAGCGTTTCAGTTTTGAAACTCCATTTTCCAACCACACACTGTTTCACAGAAATAGTTTTGACCCATCTAGTTGTGGGAGGTGCAGGGTTCCCTGTAAGCAGAGCACTTGGGTGGCCATCCAGGAAAGATTCCAATGCAGAGCACCTACATTGGCACCATGAGTTTCTATTAGGACACCTACATTGGCACCATGAGTTTCTACTAGAGGTGCACATCTGCACATGCTTTGGTGCACCGAACAAAATTTATTCTGCACACGGATGGAAAATATTAGAGGGACCTTTAGGCTACACCTAGACTACAGGCTTTTGTCGACAGGCTTTGTTGACAGATACTGTCGACAAAGAGCGTCTAGACTGCAGCCAGCTCTGTCGACAAAGCAAGCCACTTTTTCAACAGAGAGTCTAGACGCTTTCTTTTGAAAAAGCACCGTGTGGATGCAATAGCGCCTTTTTTCAACATAACTGTTAAAAAAAGGTGTTATTCCTCGTAGAATGAGGTTTACCGCTGTCAACAAAATTGCCGCGTTCTGTCGACTTACTGTCAACAGAACTCGGTGGTACTGTAGAGGTGGGTATAGTTTTGTCGACAAACGTCCACTTTTGTAGACAAAACCCTGTAGTCTAGACACATCCTTAGGGAGGTTAGTTGCAACATCCTAGGGGCTGAATCCCCAGGGGGTATAAACTGACGAAGCAGAGGGAAGAACACAGATTTACACCCGCAGAGGCCGTGCGGGACCCAAGCTGTGACATGATGTTATTCGCTGTCATTGAACTGTAGATTAAAAAGCTGCTGAAGGAGACAGAGAAGCTTTCAGCCGAGATCCTGACCCTCCGCAGCGAGAGTGCTCGTCTCCAGCTGCAGTTAGAGGTGAGTGGGGTGCTGCTCTGCCTCTGCAGAAATACCCTGAGTACACAGTGACTGCTCACCATGCCTGGTGATCACGGGAGGCACTGATACACCTGGTCTGGTGCAGCAAACTAATGCCCAGCAAGCAAGTCATGAAGTTTGCAGGACTTGTCCCTCTGCATTGCATTCAGGGTGCTCTTTATAGGTCTGAAAGGCAGCATGACCTAGTGGATAGATGCTGTGGACTGGGATTGGTGGGACCTGCTTCTGCCACAGACCCCCTAAGTGACCAGGAGCAAGTGTGCCTCAGTTTCCCCTCTGGGCCTCAGTTTCCCCTCTCACCCTTTGTCTATTTCATTTGTAATCTTTTGGAGGTAAGGACTGGTTTTTATCCTGTGTACGTGCAGCTCCTGGCACGACAGGTCCCTGATTGCTGCGGGGGCCTCCGGGTAATAAAAATGACAAATACTTGCTGGCAGATTGAAACTCATCAGCACGGACTATTTTTTGTTTTCTCAGGTTAAGGAAAAAAACCACCAAGAGATTGTAACTATCTACAGAACCCATCTGCTCAATGCAGCCCAGGTACAAACCTCAGCCGGGTTGGTGTGAAGGCTAGGGTGATTTCCGGTAGATTTCAATAACCCTCTGCTCCTACCAGCTCCCATACCCATTAGGTGATTCTCTGTAGGAGCTTAAAAGCATGGAATTCTGCTGTCACTGGCTTAGTGCGTTAGACTTATCACACTGATGCACATCGAGCTAGAGTGGGGAGGGATGAGAGGAAGAGAGTGTCACCCAAGAGAGTGTCAAATGTGCCCAGCTGATTAGCAGGGTACCCACAGCTGGCAGCATGTGTTTCTACGGCTGGTGCACATCCACACATGCCTTGGTGCACTGAATAAAATTATTCCTCACATGGATGAATAAAAATCAGAGAGAACATTGGCCAGGACTCCTGAGATCTCAGCTGAGCTCTGGGAGGCTGTGTGGTCCAGAAGGAGGAGTACAGTCCTGAAAGCCAGTGTGACTGGGCCCTAAATTCTAATTTTGGGAGGGGAGTGCCTAGTGGTTTGAGCCTTGGGCCATTTGGAGCGACTGGATCCACATGGTGGATCACAGTGTACAGGGCTGATTGGAAGCTGCCTTGCACTGCCAAGAAGCTAGATTTCCCTAAGCTTATGCCAGAGTGCAGGGTCACGAAGAGTGGGGAGATTGTAGCACTGCAAGCCACAGATGTCTCTCTACGGGGGTGTGGCTGGGGAAGTGCCACAGGGACATGCAGATCTGACAGGTCCTGGCCCCTGTGGACATTGGCGCAGAAAGGAAAACTGCTTTCCCCTTGCAGAGCTTGTGGGGCACTGGCTGAAGCATGCACTGGCCCTCCACCAGGGGGTGCTGTGGTACAGAGTGGCTGGTAGGGAGGGGAAAGGGCTGCTGGAAATTGTCTCAAACCGGACCCCCGTGTGTTTGGGGTTGGCTCAGCCCCCTGATTGACAGTGGGGTTTCTTCCGGCTCAGGGGTTCATGGATGAGGACGTTCACTCGATGCTGCTCCGAATCCTGCGGGCGAAGGAGGAATGAGCTTTGTCCTCCGCTTCCCGGGAACTAGGATCTCTCTTCTTTACAAGTGAGTGCGTCCGTCTGTTGGCCTCTCTCCTCTTGCCCCCTCTGCTTCAGAGAAGGTGCGGCCGCTCTCTGCTCTCCTAGATGTCCCCGGAAGGTCCCCATCACTGTAGCTCACCTGTGTAGGGTGCTGCTTTCATACAAACCCTCTAGCGGACAGACTCGCCGTAGCAGGTGGGATGTTCCGAGATCGCTTAGCAGGTCCGGTGCTGGTAAGAGATCATCTGGCTGGGACACTCAGCCCTTAAAGGCACAGTCCCCCGTGCAACAACAGCAATCCCTTGCAGCGCTACCCATCCCCCCTCTCTATCTGCCCCACCTGGCAACATGTGTGCAGCTCCATGCCTTCTCCCTGCCACTGCTCGGGGGAGGCGGTGGTGGCTACAGTGGCGAGAGGCAAATCTTTGCGGATTAGCTCATTAAATCATCTGGCTCCTTGGGTCACCCATGGTGCTGTGCAAAACTTGGCAGCGCTGTGTCTGTGAATCCCTTTTGGGGCGGAGCCTTACAGCCTCTCCTCTCCCCCAGGGATGAATGGGGCCTTGGTCTCATGGAGGAATCCAGGCCTATGTGTTAATGAACCTGGGTTGTGCTGCGAAAGGGCCGCTAGATGGTGGGGTGGAGCTGCGGAGCTCAGCAGGGCATCTTGCTCAGTGGGATATGGTCTTCATAGCCCCCTGGTATTTCTCAGGGCCAAAGCCATAGGGCTCCTTTCATGGCTGGGGACCTAGCTTTGAATCACAGAGTGAGGACCAGCGAAGCTAGGGCAGACAGCGCAACGTTGGCAGGCCTGTAGAAATGAAAAAGATGGGGCGGAGAATGAACTAGTTGCTGGCCCTGAACTGACCCCTTTATAGGTGAGCTGTAGATATACGGATGCTATTGCTGCCCCCTTCTGGATGGGCTCAGAACTGCTCATCTGTGTGTCCTATAGCCACTGCTGCCAATCGCTGGTGGCGATTCTCCTTTCGCTTAGGGGCTTTTGGAGCAGGAAGTTGCACATTATACAGGTTGGGCAGGGCTTAGCAGCGACTTGCCACTGGCCCAGATACTGCAGCTGGTGGGCTGGGCACGCCCTCTGCATTCAGTGTGGCACGGCCGATCTCAGGTTGAACGGTCAGCGTTGCCATCTGAGAAATGTGGTTTTCCCAGTGGACGGGAGGGGGCCACGTCACCTGGGTGCTGTGAGGCTAGCGCTCCTCTTCCAGGCAGTATGAGAGGTGCAACGCGGGCTGCAGCTGGAAGCTGTTTTGGATGGGAAGCCAGCGGATTGCTAGGGATTTTTTTTTTTAAGTGACAGAACAGCTTGTACACAGGTGCCTTCCTCTGTGGTTATATTGCCTCTGATTGACCCTGTCGGCTCACCATCCCTTTCCGAGCCTGAGCCATGGCTTCCCCAGGGTGGCTCAGTGAACAGCTGGGGTGACTCTGTAGGGGATGCTTTCCATCTCAGGCTATCCTGACCTCAGTGCCCAAACAGTGCGAGGTGATGACTCCTTAAACCGAGCCAGGCAAACCTCTAACGTTGCTAGGATTAAACTGGTTCAAGGGGGTGTACACTAGGGCTACGCCTAGACTGGCATGATTTTCTGGAAATGCTTTTAACGGAAACGTTTTCCGTTAAAAGCATTTTCGGAAAAGAGCGTCTAGATTGGCACGGATGCTTTTCCGCAAAAGCACTTTTTGCGGAAAAGCGTCCGTGGCCAATCTGGGGAAAGGCGTCCTTGGCCAATCTAGATGTGCTTTTGCGCAAAAAAGCCCCGATCGCCATTTTCGCGATCTGGGCTTTTTTGTACAAAACAAATCTGAGCTGTCTACACTGGCCCTTTTGCGCCAAAGTTTTGCGCAAAAGGGACTTTTGCCCGAATGGGAGCAGCATAGTATTTCCGCAAAAAGCACTGATTTCTTACAGTAGGAAGTCAGTGCTTTTGTGGAAATTCAAGCGGCCAGTGTAGACAGCTGGCAAGTTTTTCCGGAAAAGCGGCTGATTTTCCGGAAAAACTGGCCAGTCTAGACACAGCCCTCAGGTTTGCACTGGTTCATAGATTTAAAGCAGGGGTTCTCAAACTTTTTGGCACACGGCCCACCCTGCTCAACATAAACCTTTCCACAGATGGCCAGCCAACCACCCATGATGACAAAATGAGTAAAGGACTGGGTGGGAGTGCGGGGGGAGGGGGGAAGGTCACACAGTCAACCTGCGGAACTCCTTGCCAGTGGATGTGATGAAGGCTGGAATTTTAACAGGGTTCAAAAAAGAGCTAGATAGATTCATGGAGGTTAGGTCCATCAATGGCTATTAGACAGGATGGGTAGGGCTCGTGTCCCGAACGTCTGTTTCTCTAATGGGGAGGGATCATGTGAGGATAACCTGTTGTGTTCCCTCCCTCTGGGGCATCAGACAGGATGCTGGGCTGGATGGACAGTTGGTTTGACCCAGTATGGCCGTTCTTATGTCTAGCCAGGCGGTTGGGGGTAGGGATGGGCTGGGAGGTGGAGGGGTCTGCGGGAGAGAAGGTGGGCTGGGAGCAAGTGGTCTGCGCTCTGGGTGGGAGGTTGGGGGCAAGAGTGGGCTTGGGGTGCGGGTCTAGCTGGGATTCTGGCCAATGGGAGCAGCGGGGAAAGGCTCCAGGAGGGTGGTTTCCTGTACTGCCATTTCCCCAGACAGGGGGGCGGGAGCTGTGGCCTTTTCCTCCCCCTGTGAGCTGGATCTGGCCTGTGAGACTTGGGGTGCCCTCTCCACAGTGGGAAGCCAACCTCGCGGGGGGGGGGGGGGGGGACGGGGG